CTTGTAGCCGCTACCACTTCCTGTGGCAGTGAATTCCATGTGTTAATCACTCTTTGGGTGAAGAAGTACTTCCTTTTATCCGTTCTAACCCGACTGCTCAGCAATTTCATTGAGTGCCCACGAGTTCTTGTATTGTGAGAAGTGAACCATGTGAAGATCAGTTCTGATGTTTGGAAAGTCTACTCCTTCCCAGTGGGCTGCCTTTGCACATGCACGGAGATCACGATGTGGTGAGGCATTTGCATAAACAATCCCTCCTATGATTTCTGAGCATCTGGGATTGCTGCTTGCTAAAACTGGATTGGGTATTAAGTAATCATGACAATGATTCAATTCCAATATTAAAAGCGATAGGAGGAGGACTCAGCACAGGTTTTAATTTGTTAAAAGTAAGGGATGGCATTCAGTCACCAGACTAATCATGCCTTCCAAAAAAGCATTACAAATTACATTGCTCTCACAAAATATTTGATTATTTTTATAACAAACTCAGGAACCCTTCAAAAATAAGGATTAAATACAGAAACGACACCTGCAAACCAGCCATATACCTATGGAGATTAGGTATCTCCAGGCGATCAGACAAGGAAGCTTAACCAAAACTGGGCTGGTTGGTTTGTCTACTCTCCATGACACTAAAAGAGATGACAGAAGAGGACTACTTCAGGCTATGGGGGGGGGGGGACGACACATTTTGGAATTCTTCCTTAAGTGGACAAAACTTTCTGCAAGTTTTTTTTTAAAAAGCAAAGAAAGAAACACTCTGTGGAGCAGACTCTCCCTGCTGTGTTCGTTTTCTAACTATGTTTTTTTTTCCTTTTTAGATAAGAATGCTGGAAAAACAGCACTTCCCAGCTGCAGAAATGGTACAGTCCATACCAGCATTTCAGGATTCCACCACCTCATTCTACTGCATGAGCTGACCACACTGACAACAGGTATGCATGGCACTAAAATTTTCTGTTGGCTAGAAGATTTCATAGGTTTATTTGAAAGGGCGAAATAAACCACTCCTCCATCCAGCAAGCCTCAGTAACCTGCAAGGCTTTGGACCCAGATTTGCTGACCTCAGGTAGCTTAATTGCTAACAACAGCCCACAAATTACTTCTAGAGTGCAAAGACAGGGGTTGAGGCTGTAGTCACTGTGGGGTTTTAATCCAGCCAGTTCTGTGGGCAGAGCTTACAATTCCCAATTCTCTGTCAGCCAAAGAGGCCACTTTCCTTTGTGCCATGCAAGATATGGCCACATAACTCTCAACAACTCATCAAGCCAAAAACATCTTAACCACTGTGGGGGAGCGCTTCACCTTTAACACCTTCCCAGAAGTCATTTCGGTCCCGCCTTACAGATGTAAACTTGCTCAGGTCATGGTAGGTGCTCCAGATGTAAACATATTTATCCTCTGACCCACTAACAATGTATGTGAAGTCATGGCTGAAAACAAAGAAGAAAAAGCAGTTCATTTTCATCCCACGTTTCCGTTTTCCCATTAATACTTGTTTGCCACAGAGGGATGCTTGTCTGAGCTGAGTGGGGATTTCAACCCAGGTCTTCTCAATCCTCGTCTGACACAATATCCACTACAGATGAGTATAAGCAAAAAAAAAAAAAATACGCCCCTACCGCAATTCTCCCAAGCCCTTAGGCTCAGAGGACATGATGGTGAAGTGCACAAAAATTAACCTGAATCTACAGTATCCATTCAAGATCCAAACTGCAGATTTCTTACAATATTTGGGGTTCCCCCCAGAAATTCCAGTTTCATCACCTGAAGCTAGCTTTGATTTGGCTGCTGCTGTTGACATAACCCTTGTATTTCATGGACAGCGACAAATCTCGTAGATCATACAGCCGGATTCGGGAGTCGTTTGACGTCACTAGGATCTGGTGGTGGGAAAATGAAATTTCCTTTCAGTGGAGAGAGTTAACAAGGCGGCAGCATGTCAAACGAGACAAAAGACAGACCAGCAGCCTTGCATTCCAGGCTCCCTACCTGCACTCATTTCTAACTTGGGGTGGGCGGAGAACACCACACCAGAGCCCAGCTTTTTCACATTTTCAGAGAAGCCCTTTCCCATAATGCTTTGCAAGGCATGTGGCTGTGATGGTGAAGGAAAGACATTCTGTGCACACCTAAAGGCACTTCTCTTGATCGATATGTCTGCAAGCTAGACGGCAAGGTCTGTCTTTTCCAGCTTAATGAGAGTAGAGGTGAAGCGCTTTAAACACAAAGCTTGGTAACCCGCAAACAGCACAAACCAGGCCCATAGCCTGAACCTTTTTGTTAGAGGGGCCAATTTTTTTTTTGTTAAGGGGGCAGTTTAGCACAGTGGAGAGCAGCCCATTATGTTTCTGTACAGAACTGCCATGCTTCTACTTCTAAATAATTAAGTCAAGTGGTACATCACACAAAAATGCTTCAGGTTTATTGTAAAGATAGTTTACATGTAGAACAGATAAAGCACTCTTAACAAGTAACAGACAATACACATTTTCACACTGGTCGACTCTGAAGTTTAACAAGATGTTGTATAAGAGGTACTATGCAGGCTGAAGTGGGTTAGACCACATAAAAGAGCTTTCATACTGCACCAAGAAAACCTGGTAATGACTGTTCTTCTGGTCAGCAAGTGTGTGACTATAGTGCTGGGCCTAAGAGACCGAGGTTCAAGCCCCTACTGCCATTCTCAGCCTCACCTACGTCAAAGAATGGTTGTTGTAACTTAGGAGCCCTTTGTGCAACTAAAAATCTGTTTGGCACCATACACTTGAATCAAATCTGCATCATCACCAGTGTTCCCTCTAAGCTGAGTTAGTGTGAGCTAGCTCACAGTTTTTTAGCCTCCAGCTCACAGATTTTTGTCTTAGCTCAGGAAGGACGGCTCCAGATCAAACTAATTTATGCAGGAGCCAAATCACTGGCTCACAGCTTTAATGCCAGTTGCTCACAAAGTAGAATTTTTGCACACAAGACTCCACAGCTTAGAGGGAACATTGATCATCACACCTTCTCCATATTTATATTCAGTCAAGCTGAATATAAACAAACAAACAGATGTTCCACCAGGGCTTTAGTTGAGGCGGTGGGTGTCCAAACACATCCCTGATCTAACCTGCCTATTTTGCGCACTATACCAACTTGTGCCTGGGCCCACTTGCTCGATATGCTGGCCCTTTCTGGGCATACATATAGCTTACCCTTGGGGCTTTGTTGAACTATGGATTGCCATCATGTATTAATTTGTCTGGTTTTTAGGTCTAAAGTTGGAATTATATGGAATTGTTTTCATTGTTTTATTCAGTTACTGTAACCTGCCCTGAGCCTGCTTGCGGGGGAGGGCAGGACAGAAATCCCATAAAATAAATCCTATACACACAGCTCAGTGAGACAAGCGACAAATGGACCATAAATGCCAAATAATGATACAATCAATCATAGATTCTCTAAAGTTCGAATTTGCTAAAGCATGCCAACCATTAAGAGAACTGGGTTACCATGCCACCCTTTTCAGCCTATTGAACAATTAAAGTAGAAATCAACATGATTGGGCATGAAATTTGTCTATGAATGCATCCATACTGATGTTATTTGTGAGTGATTTCTCATAACCTAGCAACACTAGACTGTTTTTCCGAAGATGGGACATTTACAGCCCCTGTGATTGTAAAATGCTGACTCACATGTAACACTGGAGACACCAAAAGTTACACCAGCTCCAAGGACTCTGTATATATTGGGGAATGCATTTTTATAGGAGAATAGGATAGCAAGAGCATTATGGATACTATTCTCTTCTTTCAAGTGTAGATTTGTTGATGTTAAAATGTTCCTTTTTACGAGATCTGCTTCTAGTGTAAAGTTATCCCGATCAGCAACTTCTAATCATAGAAGAGGTCTTTATGGTTTTACTTCTAAAAAGGAGTGTGAAATCAGTGAGTCTACAGCAGGTAAGCATTCTACATTACGATGAGAAAATTGAGTTTCAGCCCCTGAAATGGAATAACCATGGACTTCAATGAATACCTATTTTAAGTGCATATGAGAAGATATGTCAGTTTCTTCCTGCACTACTTTCAGCAATGAAATTCTTAAAATGTTGCTCTTTCCTTTTTCTTTTACCTCCCCTTTCAGCTATATCAACAGCTATGTTGTTCTGTTCACATATTTCAGAAGTTTCCCCCAAAAACTCCTCAAAGAGAATGTCTGCTTTACTTCTCTCTTTAAGGAGAGAAATGCAAGTATTCACAACTTCAGCAGCTTTCCCTAAATACATGTCTTTGTCTTGCACTGCTGCATTACCTGGCTCAAATATAGACAACACATCTTTCATTAGGAGTGCTAAAAATGCAAACCTCACATCTGCACATGTACCATGTAGACCTTTTGCCTCCACTCACAATTCTGTGAAAGCTGTGGCTTCTCCTTCAGGATCTGCAAGGTTACCGAACACTATCAGCACCTCTCTAAAATTATCACTTATGGCTCTTGCAGTGGCCAAATGTCCAGTCCACCTATGATCTAGGACAGGGGTGGCCAAACTTGCTTAACGTAAGAGCCACACAGAATAAATGTCAGATGTTTGAGAGCCACAGGACATGAATATTACACACATTTTTATTGGAAAATATGCAAATTTGCTTTTCATTAATATTAAATGAGACTGCCAAAATAAAAACAAAAGGGATAAAAATAGATATTGATAATGATATTTATTTGTACAATTATATTTGTAGGCTTGGGGGGTGGCTTACAGAACGCATTTAAAGTTGCTTTCTTTCTCTGCTCCCCCTTGCCTCAAGCCTACCCAGGAAGGGGACCACTGGCTGGGGAAGGGAAGACCGATTGGGGGGCATGCCTCCCCAGCTGCCCTGCCGGGAGCCACACAATATGGGTGAAACAGCCACATGTGGCTCCTAAGCCAAAGTCTGGCACCTCTGATCTATGAGTCTCTTGAGCTAAGAACATGAATACAATTGGTTCACCCAATGCTTTCTGGTAAAAGTTGTATAAACTATTACACGTGTTAAAAAACTGCTTCACAGGTACTGTTTTTGAGCAACCATTAACAATCATAAAATGTAATTAGTGGTTGTAGCAGTATATGCATGGTACAGTTTTACCCAGTTTCTCTTGATTTTTTTTTAACCTCCACCTGACCTGCCAGATATAACAGTAGCCCATCATAGCACCGTACTATGAGCTGCTCAGGATTAAACCCAGTCAGTCAGAACTTGAAGCAGAAGATCAGATATATAGTCTGCTGCTAAATGTGAAACTGCATGCAAACCCAAAGATGTTCAGCTGGTCTGCCATCTTTTACAAATCTGACTACAACAGATAAATTTTCAACACCCCTTGCATCACAAGTCTCATCAGCTCTAACACAGAAGAAATTCACTTCACTGGGTTTGTAAAGGGAAGCAATTTCTTCTAGAACCGTTGATCCCAGGATAGAGATTACTTCATTTTGACTGTCTGGGATTGTATAAGAAGCACTGGCAGGTATACTCTGAACAATTGCTTTGAGTTTTGCATCTTTCTTTATGGTATAAAGAGGTCCATGAACAGCCCATCAGGGCTTGCTTCCTCCTCTGCTGCTGCTTTACTTATGGACCCATATGCCCCTCACTACCATGAAAAGAGAGCTCATTAACAGCAAAGGAACTGCATACTTTCTGCAATGCTTTCGATGTAATACCTACTTTTCATTATCTGCTCTGGCCCGAACATAGTATGACTCTCTTTTCCTAGTTCTGACCAAGTCTTTTGTTCTTCCCACTGAGACACTGCCATTAAGTGGGTTTTAGATGAGCAATTTTTACAAAATCCCTTTTTGCCCTTAAAGCTGTCTTCCAATTATTCAGACTAGAAACTGTAAATGCAACCTCCTTTTCACTGTCTTTTCTAAATTTTCTGCAAGGGAAGTAGAACGCTTTGTCACTTCAAACAGAATATTCCAACCAAGAATGGCCATCGTACCATCTGCTACTAAAACTCCACTCGGTGCACCCATATTTTGCTTTAGGGTAACTTGAAAGCTGAGGCTGCGAAGGATTTTCTGCACCTAGATCTGGAGGACAGGTTGGTTCTCTTCTTTGCAAACTCTTAGCCTCTACTGCTGTTCTGCACTTGAAATCTAGCGATTGTTGGTGTCCACTTCTAGTTATAAACCTGTCCATTTTCTGACAAGAAAATATAGAAGTTGTTCAACTGCTGCCAAATGAAAATCCAATACGCAAGCCAGAGTTATATGTTTTTAAAAAATGTTTCACAGACTGAATACAGAAGGAAGGGAGAATCAGTGGAATTACTTCCCCCAACCATTCTTATGGAAACAGAGCTGCCTTTCCTTGAATGCTGTGGTCCTAGGGCTGCCAGCCCCCAGGTCAGGGCGGGGGCTCCCCCACTTCTGGCCAGCTGGTCAGTGGGGAAAAGCCCTGCCCCCAAGCCCCACCTCCAAGCCACAGCAACCCATCTCCCTCCCCTCCTGCAGAGATTTAAAGGGTTTCAGATGATCGGTGGGGAGCACATGGCCCACCCATCAGCTGGAGGGCCCTTTAAATCTTTCAGCAGGGAGGGAGAAGGGCTGTTACTGGTTGCAGCTCCACTCGCAAAAAAAAACTCTTAAAAAAAAACACAACACCTCGCCACTTGGGATTCAGGCAGTTTATGCAGACATGGTATTGTATATTTGATGGAATGTGAGGTTTTCCCAAACAATTCTTATTACCAAAAATGATTTCTGATTTGAGCTGGCTAATTGACTGTTATATTTGTTTTAAATTATTGTTGTATATCCTTACTGGTAAGCAGTTTACAATAGTTTTACTAATGTTTTAGATACTTAAAATCTTATAGGTAATACTCATCTTTTTAAATTATATTAATGATGATTTAATTATCTGAATTTATTACATCTGTATTCCTATATGTTACGATTAATAAACTCTAAAAAAACACACATGGTTAGCCATCTTGGCAGCTATTTAGTAATTTATAGGGTACAATACCACATGGGTATCCATTTATACAAATATTTGTGTCTTTCCCCCTTTATCCTGTTTTTTTCTGGAATCTGAAAAAAAATTCTTCATCTTTTGTATACTGATGAATTTGAAACACACAATAAAACATCACTGCTACACTACAAAGACAGGTGAACAGTCTCTATTTCATTTTTATATTAGTTTCAGCTCTTCCCTGCTAGTTTTATAGATCTCTACTGTTAACATGTTGTGTATTTTTAATTTACAAACTGAGATAAGCAGATAAAATAGGAAGTTACAGAGGTATAGCTGAAATAATTAACATCAGAAAGGGGTGGAATACGCAAGGTACTGCTTCAGCTATACCTCTGTAACTTCCTATTGTATCCTCATTTCATCCTCTTCTTTCCTTTCTTAACAACAATTGGGAGTGCCTCACACCCATAATGAGTGGATTATGTTTTGAATTAGCCTCTCTGAGACTCCTCCCCCCTCCCCTTCTGTTGCATATATAAATTGGCCTTATGGATTTTACACGCCTACAAATTCGATGAAATTAGCTCTGACTCGCGAAAACTTATGCTGGAATAAATCTGGGAAGTCTTAATGCTGTCACTGGACTTGTGTCTAATTCACAAAGGTAGAGAGGCAGCTACTCTTGGTTTGTAGGCCCCACGGATCCTACGGATTGGCTGTCCCTGGCCTGCAGCTGATGTTAAAATGACTAAGTGGAATTACATGGACAAGCCAAAGAACTGGAGTGACCTCAAGATAAGAGAAGGCCAAACCTTATTTTCACCCGGCAGAGGCTCGATTCCAGTTATTTTCCTTCCGACTCGATTTCGTCCTCTGGTGGACCGCACATGTATTTGCGTGTGATACTTCAAATGCTAAGGAAAAAAAAAATTACAGAGAGAAGCTTAATTTGTACACATCTGGGAGTTCAGGAGAAAAAGCTCCCGTGTGGTTTGGCCCAAACTGGGTTGGGACACAGAGGTAGTTTGAGGAAAAAGCAGAAGGGGGTTCTGGGGGGTGCTGGAAAAAATAGTTCTAGGTAGTAGATGGTACTTGCTTCACAGAAGCGGTATGAAGCCAAGACAAAAATTCCATTGGCTGGTTCCCTGATGCAAAACGCACAGCATAAACCAATGGTAACGAACGCTAACCTCTGTGTCATAGAAGATGCACCGGCCATCGTAGGTGCCAATCACGGCGTATTTGCCATTTTGGCAAAAGTTAGCGGCTGTGATCAGCTTGGTCTGCCCGTCCACTTCATTCCACAGTGCCACTTTTTTGTCAGGAATGTTCCAAAGTCGGAGCTTCCCATCCAAGGAACCACTCAAGAAGTATCTGTCATCCTAAAATAGGGCAGATGACACCAAAAAGAACAGAGTTAACAGCAGTGCTCTGGGATCTGCCTGCCCACAGGGGCTCCCATCAGAAATGGAAGGTGAGGTCAGAGATCAGCATGTACTCTATGTCTGACAAATGCACACAAAAGATCACATCCTTAGACTCCCAGCTCTTTTTGTCACAGAGAACATTGTGGCTGCAGGAAGACAATGCCTAGGAGCTGGCTGTACAATAAATGTGCTCTAGTGCATGCCTGACGCATGTGATCTGCAACAGAGATCCTACTTAATTTAATAACTGCAGCATCTTGCTGACTGTGTACCTGCACGTGCACATCTCTTCTGTTCAATCCATATTTAAGATTCAAAACTAGGTTAAAATCCAGGTGTCACTTACCCTCGGATGGAATGCAATAGCAGTGACAAAGTCGATGTGCTGGAAACAACACAGGCACTCCCGCCTGGATATGTGCCACAGCCGGACTGTCTTGTCCATGGAAGAAGACAGCAGGAAGTAATTCTGGTAGGGGAACAGAAACAGCATGAATTATTGCAGAGATTTATAAAGTACCGAGGAAGTGCTCACAGCTAATGCAATCCTCTTTTAAGCCCTGTTAGCTCAGAGTGGCATGCCTGAGCTTCAAATAAAAATCATATGGGGAAAAAACAGCAGCCCATCAGGTGCTAATAATGCCCTAGGGTACAATTACAACAATGATGTTCAAATTGTATGCCTAGGAACCCTGAAATTCCTGGGAACAACAGACAGCAATGCCCCAAAGACTACTTGCCCACCCTCCCTGAAGCAGCGTAGTGACTGAATCAGCTGAGATCAGGAAGATCACTGGCTCAAAATCTCTGCTACAAAAAACTCATTAGAGGGTCCTAGCAACAAGCCACTCCCTCTCAGCCTCAATTCCCAACAGACAATATGGAGATAACAGAACCACCCTATATTACCACGCTGTTGTAAGGAGTACTGTGATATATATGAAGCTGCTTTGAACAATGAAACCGCTGTGCAAAACACTAAGTATTATTACTACCAATCTTCAGCTTGTAGGGAATGTTAGCTACCTTTTATGGCGGTCATTGGTCCATGCTGAGAGAGGAAAGTGGGAACCCCCACCCAAATAATATATCACAGCGCAACCTTTTTTTCCCCATGGCCCCTTAGGACATGGATATAAAGATTATTTGCTCAGGTAGCAGGTTCATTCACAACATTTTCTACCACAGCAGTGTGACAAGTGAAACCCCCCCCCCAGGTGGTAGGTTTTCCCTGTTACACTTGCATAAGCACCCTCCCCCAGTGTGCCTCGGCTTCCTCCTCTACCGCACTCTACTTGACAAGCCATGCTCGAGAGAGTGCCATCTGTGACATGGTAGCTTCATGCATCTTCAGCTCTTTGCAGGCCCACTTTACAAAGGGCTACCTGTGTTTATCTCCCTGTCTTGTGGTCCACACCAAAGTTCCTTACTTTAGACCATGACAAATCAAGGAGGTCCGCCGTGTGTCCTTTATATTTGCAGAATGGCCGCTGACGAAATGGTGTGTTCTTATCATCAGGGTCCTCATCAGTCCCGCTGCAAACCTATTAAGGGAGCAATAAAATACAAGGTGCCCAAGTGTGTTTAGAAGCCGTCAAATGTTTTCTGAAAGCACAGATAAACAATATTATTTATTTGATGTACTTTTGCCTCTTTTTTCAGTTGGATTGGTTCCTATCAGACCTATTGTACTTGCTGATTAAAAGCAGTTGCTGAGATGCCGAAGTCCTCTCTTTTTTTTGTAACTTTAAACACAATGAAAGCATTACCAAATACTGCAAAATCTGTTGGGACCAGGTGGAACACTGAGAAGCTGGGATGGCCAGGTCAGAGACAGGAGGGCTGGGGGAGCTTCCCTAAAACACCTTTGGCCACGTTCACTCCAAGAGAAAAGCTGTTTGCTGCAGCAGAGCTCTGCAACAACATTCTCTCTGTACAACCAAAAGGGCTAGTAACTTGCTTTAAAGATAAAAGCAGAGTTAGGATTTTGAACCAGGGACCGCCAATACACACAACAGGCCATAGGTGGAGATGCTTGGTGGTGATGCACTGCAGCAAAGAACACAGTAACTCTGCATACACAGCCATGCTTCACATAAAACTCTCCCTACACTGGGCTTCTTCCTGCTTTCTACCCCTGCCTCCCTCTTCAGTCGGTGCTTACAGTATCAGCCTCAGCTTTAAATAAGGCTGTAAAAGGAGTAATTGTCAGGCTAGGTAACCCAGGCTGCTTGCATGACATTTAATTACCTCCAGCATTCAAATTCGAGGTTGCGCTGAGGGAGCATCATTAATTACTCAAAACGTTCAGAGAAAAGATGTGAAGCTCTTAACTAACAGCTCTCCAGTTAGCTCTGGATTATTCCCTGCTTCTCATTTTTGCCTCAGACTATTTATGTTTGAGGAAGGGAGCTGGATCAAAAGATTCTGAATGTCCAACACTGTTAAAGACCATTCTAGAATCCATCACTCTACAGATCAACTCACATAATCCAGCCCTTGCTGCTGGGAATAATGAATGGCTCAAGCAAGTGTGCCAAGCCACCCATTAAAAGGAAGGCAAAAATTGCACGAGGTCACCCCCCCCATGTGACCAAGCAAATAATTCTCTCCATTCCATACATGACAACCAGACTCCTAACCATCACAGAGGAAATTTTGTAAGGGTGGGAGGGAAATTGTCAGCCAATATCACAAACCGACTCTGAGGGGTGCAGTACTGCCCAGCCCACTCCCTGTGGAAGAGCCTGAGAACCAAGAAGCCTGACTTACCCCTGCATCATTATCTGACTTGGAAGAATTCAAACTTTCTTGAGATGGGGAGGGCGATACTCGGCCTGAAACACAAGACACAGAGCAGCCTGAAGAGTAACTTTTCAAAGCACTGATCATTTCTCAAGGTGTATCTCAACTTTGTAGCTGCTGTGGATGTACCCAAGTGAGGAAGAAACCCACACCTTCTGTGTTGTACTTCATTCGCATGTTATTGAAGTAGTCGAAAGCGTTCTTCAGCACCCAGATTCTTACAACGTTGTCCTGTCCCGCTGAAGCCAACAACCTGCCGCAGTGAGAAAACTTCATTGTCCAAACCGCCCCCTGGTGAAGAGAAAGAAGAAGAGTTGGTTTTATACCCCGCTCTTCACTACCCGAAGGATTCTCGGTTACAATCGCCTTCCTTTCCTCTACCCACAACAGACAACCTGTGAGGTAGGTGGGGCTGAGAGAGTTCTGAGAGAAGTGTGACTGACCCAAGATCGCCCAGCAGGCGTCATGTGGAGGAGTGGGGAATCAAACCCAGTTCTTCAGATTAGAGTCTACCACTCTTAACCACTACACCAAGCTGGGTCTCCAGTGGCTCAACCCAGTGGAAATCAGTCAGCCCATGACAGCTGCTCCAGAAGGCGATCTGAGCAGGGATTGCTGAGCTAAGCCAGGCCTACCTGCTCTCTCAGGGACCTGAAAAGGTGTCATGTCATCTGCTGAGGAAAACAAGAGAAAAGCAGGCCCTGGCCTGCACTGCCGCCACCAGGCAAGACTTCTCCCACAATCCTTGGACTGTACAAGCCCCCACACCCATCTTTGGCAACACCTCAGAAAAATTGTACCGATCGTTAAAACGTTTTGCACATTTACTATGCAGAACTTCTCATCAGATGATTTTAACAATATTAGAAAGGGCGTGATATAACCTAATCATCCGTCAGAGAAAAAATGGGAAGGCAGGTCTGTTTTCCAGAGCAGCCAGACTCAACCGCCAGCACCCAGAAGGGCAGGGGTATCGACCCACCGCCCCTTGACCCCCACCTGAGACAGAAAGGCCAGCCTACCATGTGCTCCCCGCTGAGGTCCTGAACGACTTTTACTTGCTCAAAGTCATAAGGCCCCTTGAAGCCATGCGCTGCTTTGAATTTCACCGGCCTCGTGTATGGCATCCCTTCATCATCACTCGAGGAGGGATCATCTTGATCGGTGTGGAAAACTAAGAGATTGAACATGTGCAGAGCCTTTGAATATGGTTAGCCCTGCCTCATCTGCTGTAAAACATCAGCTCTGAACACATGATTAAAACATGTTTATCAGCTCTAAACACTGTTCTGCGGCTGAAAAGTAGGATAAAAGGTAAAGGTTCCCTTGCTCGAAAGCCAGTCAAATCCGACTCTAGTGTTGCAGTGCTCATCTCCATCTCAAAGCCGAAGAGCCAGCGCTGTCCGAAGACATTTCCGTGGTCATGTGGCCGGCATGACTAAACACCAAGGTGCACGGAACGCTGTTACCTTCCCACCGAAGTGGTACCTATTTATCTACTTGTAATTTCTTGCTTTCGAACTGCTAGGTTGGCAGGAGAAAAGTAGGATAGTTTGAAACAATAGAAATCATACCAAATCAACACCAATTTTATTCACATGCTGCATTCCTATATCACCTTCTCTGTCAAACCATTTAATCTGTAATAGTGAAAGCATGTTTAAACAAATGACAGACATCAACAGTTCGTATCTATAACTAATTTTGGAGTTGAATCAAGATGGGCAGCCACGTTAGTCTGTCTGTAGCAGCAGAAAAGAGTAGGAGGCCAGTAGCACCTTAAAGACTAACAAAATGTATGGCCGGGTATCAGCTTTTGTTGAGTCACTCCTCATTTCTTTTTCAGAAGAAACCTCATACCCTCCCCACAAGTTTTGTAGTCTTTAAGGTGGTATTGGACTCTTAATTTTGGAGTGTATGGTAGGGTGGTGTTCGTGTACCATAGTGGAAATTCAGGAGTGAGGTAGAGGAGGAGTGATTTTAAGGCCACCGAGTGTTATTTGCAGCAGAGGTAACATTTGGATCGGGGACTGAATAGGAAAACAAATAAGATACTCCCTCTCACTAGGCATCTTGCAAAAGTTACCTTTCTCCCACATGATCCTGCCTTTTTTTACTAACCTTCATCTCGAACGCTTTTCACTTTATTGACAGCACGCTCCCCGTATTCTTCAGCCAGATGCCTTGCCCTCTTGACTGATTTGCCCAAGAACTTTTTAAGCTGTGTCCTTGGGGGGGGGAAAGTTTTAAAAAACAAAACTCAGCTTGAAGACTGTACTGTGAGCAACAAGGAGACAGGTGCACAGTCTGCCGCCCAGTGAGGTTGGGCTGCCAAACTCAGCGCTGATCCCATTTCTGTTCTGCTGTCCTCTGCTTCTGCTCAGCTAACTAGCATCAACGATCATAGCAACACTACATATAACCAGAATACACCAACCACATTGAGTGTCCCCAGCAGCAGTCCACCCCATAGCAAACACCATTCCAACTGCGAAGTGGTGCTCAGAAACCATATTATGGTGTTAAGCATGCCAGCTAAGTGTCCCTAAAACGGCCTCTGTATACAGAAGCAGTATACTTCTGGTCACCAGCCAGACATTAGGGGGTCTCTGCTGTCATCAGACTCTGCTTACAGCCTTTACAAAAGACATCTGAGTTGTGAAGCAAAAAAAGAAAAAGAAAGGATTTTTAACCTGATCCAGCAACACAGCCTTATGTGAATGAAAAGTGGGGTGACACACAAGAAAACCTGCACTAGAATCCCTGAAGAAGGAAGAGAAGAGGAGATTGGATTTATACCCCGCCCATTCATCAGAGTCTCAGAGCGGCTTACAATCTCCTTCCCCTCCCCACAACAGACATCCTGTGAGGTAGGTGGGGCTGAGAGAGCTCTTTCGAGGACTGCTCTTGAGAGAACAACTCCGAGAGAACTTGTGACTGACTCAAGGTAAACACCAGCAGCTGCATGTGGAGCAGTGGGGAATCAAACCTGCTTCTCCCAGATTAAGAGTCCGTGCTCCTAACCCCTACACCAAACTGGCTCTGAACTGGTGCCAAATCTTCAGAAAATGTCTGAACACAGATCCCATTTCCTTCCCATCAATGAATGGCATCCCCTTACTTATACCACCTTCTGCACTCACTCACTAGACATGAATTCCTTATAATGACTGCCCCAGAAACACACACACAGACACACACACACACAAGTTTCCTCAATTCCCTTCAAAAAGGGTCTGACAGCTGATTCCCATCTTACAAAAAACATACTGAGGTAAAAAAGGAAAAAGGGGGGGGGCTTACGTTTTCTGTTTTAAGCGTCCTCCATCTATGTCACTTTGCTGAGACTGCATTTTGTCTTCATCGTCAGACTGGGCCCCGTCATTACTGCGGACAAACAAAACAGCTTTTGAACATTATGTGCCAAGGAGCCAAGCACCTCAGTGGAACAGCACCTGAAAAGGAAGTGGCCACAGCCCACTTTGTGCGCAAAGCCGAGCCACTTGGGAGAGAACGGCCACTGCCTGATCCACTTGAGGACCTCTCTGCCAGACCTCACATGGGCATCCCTCTGCAGCTCAGCATGAATGCTCCATATCTAAACACTGGGAGGGGGGGCACATATGCAGAATTAGGTCTGAGCACAAGTCCTTAAGACGCTGTTTGGCAACTTAAAGAAATAAAATTCCAATGGGGCTGTATTTTTGTATTGAATGAAGGCTGAGGAGGCAGCAGCATCAGCAGCTCTGCCAACTGGCTTGCTCCTTCCCCAGCAGAGTTGCAGAAAAAGGGCTCTTCAACTCCCTTCTCATCTAGTGCAAACAGCAAGAGAGGCTCTGGTAAAGCTCTTCTTTTAGGCCCCTTAGTAGGTCCCTTCCTTTTCCCCAAGTCTCAACTGGGGCACAGGAGCAAGCGACTAAGGAGCACAATAAAGGAGGACTCGGCCAAAGCCTCTTGTGGCCACAATGTAAGTTACGTGCAGAGAGCCTCTGCATGCACCGATCACAGCTTGGCGAGGCAAGGGTGCACTGCACAGGGTGTTTGTTCATTCCACGGAATCTCAGGGTCATATGGGAAACCTTAAAAGATACCGCCCTGGCCCTTCAGCTGCACACGCGTCCCATAGTGGGGCATCAGATCTTCACACCTTTATTTTTATTCTCATACTGCATTGCTTGTTGAATATACTATACTGTCCGTTTAGTGGATGCATTTTACTGTTTATTTCATTGTCTTCAAATGGCGTAATCCAGTTTTAGTGCATTGTTTGTTGCTTTATTTGACTGGTCTTTATGGCACTGTTTTTATAATTCTGTAATTCGCTTTCAGTCTCATTAAGAAAGGTGGATGATAAACAAAGTTAATAAAATAGACCAGTAAATAACATGGCCAGCAGGGTTGGCTGTTGCAGAATTAGGGCCCAGATTGAGCCTCAGTACTCTGTTAAACCTACTGTTACTTTGATTTCTATAGTAAAATATAGTTGAATCTTTGGTTCTCTTTTCCAGGAGGCTTCAGGACTCTGCTAGTGCTGTGACCTTCTGGTACCGATAACTCTGTACATGACTCTTGCCTTAGAGGATGTTTATACATTCCAGAAGTTAGTGGTGTCACTATCAGAATCTAGACGGAGAAGGTATTTGAATCCAGCTTCCTTGACTCTCCTTGACTTTCTGTGAGCTTCCTGACCCGAGATAGAAAGGAGGGGAGGAATTTGGTTCAGTTCTAGTCAGTTCTGGTCAGGCCTGCGTCACATCCATGGAAGACCTATGTGACAGGACTACCTACCATGTCAGTCGGTACGCTAGCAGCTATAGGTCCAAGAAAGATATAGATCTCTGGTTTACTAACAGTAGGGGACTGGCTGTCAATAGCTCCATGTGAGGCCTTGGTCGTTAGTCCAGAACAGTTTATACAAGCATACTGTTTGTGTTGAAATATCCTGTGTTGAATATTGAAATGCTACAAAGTGTTTTCTGTCTTAAGAGTGTATAATGGAACAAATTGAGCTTTAAGAACCATTCTCTCTCTCTATACTAGATTCAGCCCCTTGGCAGTCTCCACCCAATTAGTGAAAGAACTCAGGGGAACTGGGGGGGGGGGGCTGAGGAAAAGGACCTGGCCCCCAGAATCCCTCAACATTGGCTTGACTAGACAAGTCACTTGCGGCTGGTGGCGGGGGAGTGTATATTTGGGCTGGCCCCACCTGCTACAAATAACCTCAAATTACCTATGTTGTTTTTTCCCCTAAGTTGAACCCAAACAGATGATAACCATAAACCAAGCTTGGCATCCTTTTTAACTGCTTAAAAACATCTTCGCTATTTTGTATGCTAATTTAACAAGCCACCCTCTATATATACAACTATGATCTGTAATTCCATTTCCATGTCTGACTAAGTGTGCTTTGCACACGAAAGCTCACACCTTGAATAAAACTTTGTTGGTCTTAAAGGTGCCAGCGGACTCTAACTTTGTTCAAATCTGACCCATCAGCTTGGTTGTTCTATGTTGCACAGATTCTGTGGTTGACTGGGAACTGTGGCTCAGACCCTTTTATTTTTTTCTTAACCCCAAGAACTTCCTTTGGACCTGCTCAAACTTAAAAGGAGATTTCATGTATCCCCAGTAGAGGCTGATGAGGGGGAATCACGCACAGAGAAACGCCCCTATAAGGAAATACAGACAATGGAGCAGACCACTACTAGGTGCCAGCTGCCATTCTCAGTTCCTACCTGACATATTCTTTAGTCCGCCTCATGATGTGCAATGTCAAAGGGTTGATGCCTGTGGGCAGCTTCTCCTCTGCCAAACTCAAAGGGATCTCCTCCCCGGTGTCGAGATTCTTTATCATGACACTGGCCAGAATTTCCTGTACAGATGAGAACAGAAGGAAAGGTCAGATCCTGGGTAAGGCTTACCTAATACAAGGAGAGTGACGTTCAGTTGCCAGAAGAATGTAAGATGTTTTTCAGACCCATTTCCTAAGTGGAACATGTACTTTTGCTGTACGTGGTTTGAGAAAGAAGGAACACAAGACCATATTTATATACTGTCATAAGCCCTAAGCACCTGCAACTGGAACACAGGTTCTTTCCTTGTTTATCTTCACCTCCTCTTCAATTCACTACATTTGTTGCTCCCTTGTGACAGTATTTAGATTGTAAGCTTCTAAGTCAGGGACCTGTCTTCCTGTACTCTAACAATTAGCTGGTGTGAGACTCCCCCCCTCCCCCCGAAGGGGAAGGCAACACAGGTGCATTTTCTGGGATCCGTCATTAATTTACAGAGTCTACAGGCCATGGCTTTGATAACTTGGTGACAGGACTATCTATCAGGGCCTGTCAGCCAGGAAACAAACACAAAGCAAAGGACATGTAGGTGAGGGGGTGCACATCTGGAGAAGGACTTATCATCAACATAGAGAAGCACCTGGTTAGGATACTGGACAACATGGACCTTTAGTTTCTCTATCAGGTTTGGTCCACTACTGTCTCTTAACTCTGTGCACCGAACTCACAGAGCAGACAACATAGGGGCCCAGAAGGCACCACTGCCACTATCTGGGAATTTTTCAGTGAACAGCAGGTTTGCCTGTTGTTCCTGATCCTGAGAACTTGCAGAGGGAAGTGGTCATCCCAGAGGGGTAGCCACATTAGTCTGCAGAGGAAGGGCCACATGGCTCAGTGGCAGAACACCCGCTTTGCACTCTCAGAAGGTCCCAGGATCAATCCCCAACATCTCCAGTTAAAGGATCAGGTAGTAGGTGATGTGGAGGACTTCTGCCTGAGACCCTGGAGAGCCCCTCTCAGTCATAGACAATATTGACCTCAAAGGATTAATGGTCTGTCTCTCAGTGTAAGGCAGCTTCACAGGCACATGTATAAAAGTTGACCTCAAAGGATTAATGGTCTGTCTCAGTGTAAGGCAGCTTCACAGGCACTTGTATAAAAGGGAGTCTCACGGCACCTTAAAGACTAAACTCCAGCAGAAGCTTTTCCGGAGTCCACTTTGTCAGGTGCAGGGGGAATGGAGGGGCAGGTGCTCTCCGTGGCCCTGAGTAAGTCAGGGAGGCCTGTTCTTTCGGCTGGCGGGGCTCCTGGTTTCCCCCAGACAGAAAGAAAGGGACTTTCCATTCAACAACTGAAAAATCTCTTAAAGATGAAACAGAATGGAATAAAGGGCTCACAGCCCTGAACCTGCTATTAAGTCTTACGCGGATACATTAATTTGCTTAACATTTTCCAGGAACAGATTTGTATTATCTGGAAGGAAATTCGTTGTGCAGAATTCTTGAAAATCGCCACTTAAAGATGGTGTGTGGGACAGTGGTTAGCCCACATGAAAATGACCAGGGAGGCCAGAGTTCAAATCTCTGTTCTGCCATGAAGCTCAGTGGGCATTTTTGGGCTTGTTGCACGCTCTCTCTCTTCCCCTAATCTACTTCATAGAGCTGCTGTAAGGACAAAATGAGGGAAGAGAAAGCTACATACGCCAACCGTGAGCTCCTCAGAGAAAGTACCGGATAAAAAATGTAATATACACACACAAACACTTCCATCACACCCTCCTGAGGGCTCTCCAGAGAAAGACTCCCTCTGCCCTTCTTATAATCTTGTGGAAAACAAAACATATTACTTGACCAGCTCAAGGAGGCACCCTTTGGGTGACCAGCCCCCCGCCCAAGCCCCTGTCTTTGGCAGCCCTGCCCCCTCCCCAAAGGATACCTCATCTGTGAGCTCCCTGCCAGAATTAGACCTGGGTCTCTGAGGCCCGATGACTTCACTCGCTGTCGTCTGTCCATCAGCCGGTTTCCCATTTTCCTGCAATTACAGATGTGCATTTGCTTAAATACAAAAATGAAAGAGAACACATTATTTCACTAAAATTCTAGTGCTTTGACCTAGTTTCTAGCACATTAGATACCATAATGGGATTTCTGGAGAGCAACACGGCAAAACTCAGGTCCATACACCATACAGCCTACGTATAAAACTGCTGCAATGTTGCAAGCAGATTATGGCCTAGCTCTCCCAAGCAGGACGGAGGATGGTAAACATGTTTCTGGAGTATACTACTGTGCTGGGGGGTTGTCGTTGTCAGAGCACAGGTATCAACGCCTCTTTTAAAAAGTGTCCTGCCCACAGAAAACAAACCATGTGAAAGAAGGGAAGAATAAAGCCCTTCCCTCTATATTGTTCCCTGTATAAGGAGTATAAAAACCCCCTTGAATAACACTCAAAAATACCAACTGATCCACCTGCAGTATGAAGTGGTCCAGAATCCATTCCCCAAAAAGGCTGACCCTGGCTTGTGCCCAGCATCAGGCCATCTTGAGATTAGAAGGACAGAAATATTAACCTAAAATGTTTTCCCTTTTATTCTACTCAAAGGAACTTCACTTCTCACAAAGCTGCTTTTTAACAACCAAAACAAAATCTGCAATATGCAACGACCTCCTTAAAAACCATACACACACACACCCTTCCCCCAAAGTCCGAGCATACAGACAGCAAAAGGTATATAAAAAGCACTTGCCTAGAATCCATGTACGTTTGCACCAAGAGGAGAGGGAGGGGGAAAGACACAAGGGCAGCACAACATTACTGACACTCGGGTGTTCACTGGTAGGGGTGCAAGAACCAGGGGCCACTGGTGTGCAAAACTGGGCCTGGGTAGGAAACAGGTCTGTCCTCCTGCTCCCATTTGTGCTGGGAGGAAGGGGATGTCAGCTCCTCAGTCCTCAATTGCAGCCATGCTCTAAACTAAAGTAGGGTCCCCCAATATGGTGCCCAGGGATCCCACATGGTACCCGCGGACACCCAAGTGTTTTTAGGAAGTGGGCAGGGCCAGATGGGGCTTTTGCCCAGCGGGGCTTCTGATTTGTCTGTGCAGACTTTTTAAGAAGTTGCTTCAGCTGCCGCCGCCACCCCAGCACAATGGTCTTCCCGGCATTACTGAAAATAAGCTGTGTGTATGTGAGAAAATATTTTTAAACAATATGTCAATCTAAAAAAGTTATCCCGTTAAACACAGTTTCTGCCTGAAATGTTGAAGAGTCACGATTAGCAATGTGCATGACTTCACTTTCAGAGTTTCTGCGGCTGGCTCTGTCTCTTGTCGCAGCCGTTCTGTGACTGCACCCACCATCCAGCGCCTGAATTCCAAAGGCGCCTGCAGGCTCAAAGAGGCTGGGGGGCCCTGCTCTAAAGGAAGGCCACTCAAACTCTAGGCTATGGATTCCGGGGATGTTCAACCCTGGCACCTCTCAGTCAAGCACTGTCTGGGAGGGGGAGGGTGAAGAGAGAGACCAAGGCGGGGGGGGGGCTGACAGAACCAGAACAACATGTAAAGAAGTTATTGTTTTGCCTCTCTCTCTTTCCAATCTGGTTTCTAGGTTAAAAAAACCCTGGCTTCCGTGTTCACTGCCATGTTCCCCCCCCCCCAAATCTTATTTTGTTCTATCACCAGAGCAGTGCAATTTGGTAGCTACCTGGGATGATGCCTCCTGCAGTCCCCAGGTACTTTCAGCGCAGTTGCTGGCTAAACTAGATTCTGCGCCAAGTGGTGCATGTCCCAGACAGAGACCCAAGAACCATACTTCAGAAACCACACTTTGTACAGCCCTCCTGAGCCCTCTTGTACCACCTCCAAACGTAGGTGAAGGTATATAACTTTGCATGTTCCCTCATACCAGGTCCACCCAGCTTGAGGAAAACCACCCTGTCAGGAGAAGGATTCTAAGACCAGCCTTCTATCTGAAGTGCTAATTTACTATGTAAATCTTTGGGCATGGATACTGAGAATGTGTTTAGCATTTTAGACTGGCAGGGAATATTCAGAATGAGTTATCATCCATTTCTGAAGGGCAGTAATCCATGCGGCTTTCTGAATGTAAAGATCAACTGTGTGATACTGTGTAACAGTGTTGGACTGGATGGGCCATTGGCCTGATCCAACACTGGCTTCTCTGATGTTCTTAACTTTTAAGGTACACTTCTTGGTCCCTTTGCCTTGCCTACCGTCCATGCCCTTTCACTCCCTTGGAAGGTAGCTAGGCTGCTGCTGGCAGTTCTAGATGGGCAGCTGTATTAAAATTCAATTCCAGTGAGCCTTTAGAAACCAACAAAACCTATTCCTGCACAATCATTCGTGAATCAGAGCTCACTTCAGCAGATGTGTGAGGTGTACATCCACAGAAGCTGTACCCAAGTAAAGGCAGGGGGCGAGGAACTGTAACAAAGAGAGGCCACTTTGAAACAATAACCAAAGAAAAACCAATCCATTTGGAGGGGGTGAGGACCAGCCTCAACTGCCGATAGACAGCCAGAGTTGGATGCAACGCAAGATCAGATCTAATCAACCAAGATGTAGAGTAACATATGGTAAGACTGACCGATTTAATGGCTGGGCTGTTGCTGGCTTACCTGGGCCGTGACAATTTTGTCTCCGCTTGTTGCACTTGCGAGATCCAAAGACGGATGAGAATCTTTGGCCATGGAATCTGAGGGTACATTTGGAGATAAGAGCCCACCAGCTGAAAAGGCCTCTCTGGGAACTGCAACAAGATGCGACCCATTAATGAAACGGGAAATCTATACTGAACGAATCTGAACCACGTATTTCACAGGCAATTGCATTTTCACAGAACTGAAACTTGCCTTCAAGACCAGGTATCTTTTGCACCTCAATGTCTAAGTCGCTTTTTTTCTTCCTCGGTGGTGGAGCGGGCCGTGCTGGGGGTGGTGGTCGGGGAGGGGGGAAGCTTGCTGGAGGGGGAGGGCGAGTGGGTCCAGATTTCTTTGTGCTGGCAACTATGTCTGGCTCTGCGGTGAGCTGCCTTGGGGGTTTGGCTGGAGGCGGCTCCTCTGCTGTGGAGAAATCTTTGGGGGGCAAGAAATCCAAGGCCCCCTGATCCAAGATCTCTGACTCCCTTGCATCAGCCGCATCCTCCCTCTTTGATCCCTCTTCTGGCTCATTGGTTTCTGCTGCCTTGAACTCCTGGAGCTTATCTGCAGGTTCTGCAGATTTATTAGTGGCTTCCCCACCTCGATGCTCTGGTGCATCATCGCAAGGCGGCAGAACCTGCCTGTACCCTGTTTCATTTGCCAGGAACGGGGTCTGAATTGAATGTTCTTCATTACGTCCTTCTAAGGCTGTTTCTGCAACCAACAGTTCAGGGATATGCTGAAGAATGTCTGCTCCAGAAATCCAGGTATTGGCATGTGATGCGGGGTCAGACAGCTCCTTTACTGCTGCATCCAAAACATCATTCTCTAGTCGGCGTGCTTTCTGGCTCTCTTCGATAATATTGTCTATAATCTAAATAGCAAAACAGATACCTTATAATATATGCAGCACAAACCAGTCAGCCCTACCCCAAAATGATCATTGTCAGAGTCTATGTCAAAGATTCCTCAATCGTTTACCGTGAGAGAAGCATGCCTTGAAAAATTAAGGCACTATGCTGAGTTCCCGTCATACAACGAGGAAGTCCGATGCAGCACTGGAAGTGCAACCCTAAACAGGGTTACGCCTCATAAGCCCACTGAAGTCAATGGACTTGGAAAGGTCCAACTCTGCTTAGAGTTACACTGCAGGTTTCCCTTGCTCTTCCAATACAGGGGGAATATCACCACCCCAAGGTAGGAAGGGCACACCATGATTCCACAACTCAGCTCATGCTACTGCTATTAGGTTTAGGGGAACTGGAGAAACAATCCTGTTACCTAAAAGATAGTCCCATACCTGAATGGGGAGGGGGATGCTAGATTCCAGAGGCCTTTTTAACTCTGCTATGCAGCAGCAAAGAAGAGCTTTGTTTTGGGATCTGATCAAGAAAATTATCTTTTAACATGTGGGAAGAGTCTGAACCTCTGATTTTAAGGCAGTGCATTGCAGGTATCAAGAGCTTAGGAAAGGCTGGGCAGAACAGAACTCCTCCAAATCGTCTTTTAAAGAAAAGCCCACACAAATGCTATATATTCAGACAAAGAACCAACTACAATTTTGTTTGTGACATAAGCAGGCCTGAAATACTGGAACTCACCTGAGTCCCCTCTGCTCCTCCCCCTTCCCCGTACCTGGATCCAAGGCTGAAGACTTCCTGGTTTAGGAAGTCTTTGATCTAGCCACAATTTGCTGTGAAATCTGAATTTGGGCACCTCAACACAATGGGGCCCCATTTCCTAAGATTCTAAAAACAGGATTTAACTTTGGTATAGAATCCTTGTTTGTAGTGGAGAGAACTACCACCTGTCATTTTGCCCAGTTCAGACATGATAACACACTGCTGTATGTTTCAAACTAAAAAGTCCTTGATTTCTGTACCACACAAGGGGGGGGGATGGGAGGATGAAACAAGGGCTCCTTGATTTCTGTACCACACAAGGGGGGATGGGAGGACAAAACAAGGACTTCATGGATCATTCTCATCATGAATAAACATCTGAACCCTCCACTTTTCATTCAAAAACTTCATTCAAATATTTTCATTTTTTTAAAAATCTGCATTTTAAATCAACAGATCATAAATTAATACAGTTTAATGATTTCAGTCTTACAGGCTACACTGGACATCCCAAAATCATAGAATCATAGAGTTGGAAGGGATCTCCAGGGTTATTGTCCAAATTCACAAATACCTCCCCACTCCCACCCTCAGTAAACTCTGTTCAATGGCCAGAACATGACAAAAAATGTCCAGGATCCCTGACAAACTGGCCTGGAGAAAAATTGCTTCCTGACCCCAAAGTGGCAATCAGCATTTCCCTGGGTGTGTAAGAAGACGGCCACAAGAGCTAAGCACTGACGCAACCCTTCCTGCCCTCCGTCTCATGATCTGCCTAAGTTCACAGAATCAGCATGGGGAACTAATCTAGCTTTCACAAATTCTGGAGATGGTTTTGTCTTTAACTACCTCCTTGAATGTCCTCATTTGGGAACTGCCTACCCCCTCCCCATTTTGCACTTATTTCAGAAGCGAAAGGGCTTTTCAGTACATTGCTAAAAATGTCAGTTACACAACTTAAAAAAAACACCCTTGTTTAGGCATTTTCAGTACCCCACAACAAACCTTTTTAGGGTCATCCTGTTTTACTTCCAGCTGTGCTGCCTCACTCTCTGCTGTCTGCAGACCACCGCCCAGTTCCTGTAAAACAGTCATGAACAGTCAAGATTTCCTCCCAGAAGGAAGGCCTAAATCTAAAATTTGAGGGGAAAGGGTGGGGGGGACGGACGGACTTGATTACTACCTTTGATGGAAGAGACACACATCCAGACACATTGGATATTTGTTACCAGAACAATTTGGAGAGCGTGTGCAGTTACCATGAGAGATTATCCATGGCCTACTGTGTAAACTTTTAGCAATTGCACATTACAGAAGAAAGCAACACCTGGCTCTAAAGGAAATATTTTTTTCATATATTTATTTCTGGCTGTGTGTTGTTTTACAATAGTAATACTGACCGCTGAGGAAGGCCCAAAGGGGCCGAAACATGTATGGTCTACTGGTCATAAGATATACCCATCAAAGGTATAATATTAACCCCAGAGATAGCATTACTGAATATGATACCGGAAAGTTACAAATATAATGTAAAATTCTTGTTAGTATATATTTTGGCAACCGCAAGGATAATGTTGGCCAGATATTGGAAGCAAAACAAATTCCCCACTAAAGAGGAAATTAGTTTTAAACTCTTAGAAGTGGCAGAAATGGATAAGCTTAGCTTGATATTACAAGGGAAAGATGAAAATGTATTTCTGGAGAGATGGGAAAGACTGTATATTTGGATTGATGAAGTGTGGAATGTATAGACTCAAGATATAAGGAGAAATATATGTATGTACAAGTAAGAGAAAACCAATAAATAAACCGTTTTTTAAAAAAGGTATATGTGAAACAGCTCTGTATGTAAAAAGTTTTAAGAGTCTGATATTTGGATCATTTATTTTAACCTATTTTGTTTTTTACTAATGTGTACACCATAATAAATATTTGTGTTCTTATAATAATCTATTATGTTAGCTTGACCCTCATATATCACAACCTAAATCTAAAGTTCATCAAAGGGGAGCAAAAGGACACTATCCAGTGCTGTCGACCTTTGCGGGAGGGGTGTTTTTTTGTATTGCTGACAAACAGAAACAAACTGGTTTGATTGGGGAAACATTCACATTAAAAGTGTGTATGTATTTCCCCCACCACCCAGAAGAAAACCCTTGCTGATCAGACTTAAGAGTCCACCTAGCGCCAGAAGCTTTAAGGTAACACAAAAACAGGGCCCACAGACAACAGCCCCTCTTCCTTTATCGCCAACATCAAGCATTCAGAAGTGCACTGCCCCTTGACTTAGATGTTCCATCACAGCTAATTGCATTTGATAAACCTATCCTCCAGGGATGTATCTAACTTTATTTTTAAGCCTCCCCCAAGTGTAGTTAACTTACAACCCTACCACTTTGGGCACTTTCTAAGCCTGTTTTGCCACATGCATGTTAGTCAGGAAAATCATATTCTGGCCATTCTTCTGCCTCACAGACAGAGAAGTGAATCGGCCCTCGGCAAATAAGAAACAAGTTAAAACACACCAACGGTTTGATAAAACTAGCTCCTGACAAGCCACAGAGAGAGGAAGAGAGATACTGGCTTCAGTGGGAAGGAGACAGTTGATAAGGCAGTCCAGCTTCCTTTGCAGAGAATGATCTGTTCACAAGTGCATGGGTTACACAGCCAAATTGCAGTGCAACCTCACCTTTACATTAATCCCTATCCTCCGTCTGCAGCCCTGGATACATTTTCCTGCTATACGGTAAACTACTCCTTTAGTTGTGGCCCACTATATCACCTTTTCTTCAACAGCTGGCCTTTGAACACTACAACTTTTAAAAATATTCCTTGGGAGGCTGAACAGCATCACCTTTGGCCTTTGCAACTATATACACAAGGGTATTCCCCCCCTTCCCTCTCCAAATGAGCCCTAACTTCTGGCCTACTTAAATGCCAGAGAGTCAGCTGTGTTGTCGCTGTTCGTAGCGGCTGCATACTAATTACCTGTGTGGGAAGCAGGCGGTGCTGCCTCCACGCACTAAGTTTAGAGCTCTGCTTTCACGTTATCTGAAGCGTTTCAGATCAGAATGCTCAACTCCTTCTGTCACCACGAGACAACGCATGAGGAACAGAAAGAAGGCCCGAGGAAAGAACAAAACTACCACGATTGCAATGAAGCAGCAGATCTCAGAACCCAAAAGCAAATAATATGGGAAGAATGCAAGCAGGCTGGGTAGAAATCAGCTGTCAATAGGAGAAAGCCGAGATTAGGTTCAAATTAGAAGAAGCCAAGAAAAACAAATATGTGCTTTGAACATGTTGGACCGGTTTAGTCCAAGGACACAACAGGAATAGTCAAGCTCTGAGTCAAAGCTATGCTCAGAGGACGCAACAGAGGTCATTAATCAAGTGCTCCCACTTTTACTTTTGATGTCCACTTCACTATGGATGGGTGCAGGGACACAGAGGACGAATCCTCTGTGGGGTCTGGTTCTTTTTAACAGAATCCTCACGTCACCCTGACATCTTTTAAATTTACAAAGGAAGAGTGCATTTTTAAGAGATACTAACTCATCTACATCACGGGATGCTGAGACTATATTCTGCTTAAGACCATAAGAAGTGCCTTGTAGGTGTTTGGTGGCCACCAGAATCAGCCATCCGTTCATTGGTGAACTGGGACTAGGCCCATGGGTCCCTTGGTAATGCTCCAAGACGATCAAGAGATGAGACAGGGTCCATATCTTGCTAGCCTAAGGTAACTAGTCTCTGGAAACAGAAGTCATTCTTTACACCAGAGGTGGACAAATTATGTCTGCAAGGGGAAGGGGAATGGTCTACATCCAGCATGTGGCAGTTTTTCCTCTGACTCTCAAGTGGCTTATCCATTTGTGGACAGCATTTGCGCATCAGACTGCAGTACTGGTTAGTGGGCCCATGATTCTGAAAAACAGTTCAAGGTCTACTAAGAGCAGCAGAGAGAGAGAGTGAGTCACATTTGTGGGCTCTAGTTTGGATGCTGGTGCTTCCTGTTTCTAGGAACCAGGATGCAACTATGAGCACTCAAAAGCAGGGGGAGACCAAGATGTGGCCATAAAAATTGCCACCCCTGCTTTAGGCTACCATGGTAAGTAGCCCCTGACTTTGCCTTCTCATAATAGTTGATTCAGCAAGCCATTTGTGCACATGGAATGGATTCCAGTTCATTTCCCCAAACATCAGCTTCCTCGCAATCCTTTTTTTCCCCATCCTACGAGTTTTTGAAAGAGATCACAAAGTGACCTGTGGTGTGCTTTCGCATGAATAAAACCCTCATCAGCCCATTAAGCTCCCCTGGCCCTCGGATGCCGGGCTCAGGAACAGAACTCGAAGCAACCAATCACACGTTGCAGTTCACTTTGTATTTATACTAAATGATCACCAATGCAAACCTCGCGAACTACACCCCCCTAAAAAAAGAAAACTTGGGAGGAGAGGAAAACTTTTTTTGCTCTCCATTGTCCACTGTCTACCTAGGCACTGCAGGTTTGACGTCTTTAGAACGAGATGACCTGGCTTGCTCTCTGTTAAGGTCAGGCAGGCTGCTTGCATCGGACAAACATTTATACAAAGAGACGCACCTTCGGTATTGGCGGCCCAACTTTGGTAGGTGACCTGCAGAGAGGTGGAAGGAAAGAAAAACACAAGAGATATGCAGACCTTAGGTGAAAATAGGAAGCAATCAAACACATTCCAGCATTTAAAGGTTAACTAGCAAATATTTATTTCCTCTATACAGCACTTTAAGAGGTTTGTCCTTTTAGATTTGCTCAATGACATTTGCCATCCCTCTCCCACCCCTCTCCTCCTGGCACTGCAGAATATTCTTGGACATGTACTGGGATACAGTCAGTTCACACAGAGCGCAAGCCAGCCTTTGTCTTTTCTGTGTGAGCTCTACATATCTGGGAACACATCCATAGACAGCATGTGCTGATCACACCCAGCTCTACCTTGCTTTATCTAAAGGCTGCAGTTGGTATCCTGGGTCAGTGTATGCTGGCCATTGTCAAGTGGCTAAAGGTCAACAAACTGACACTGAATCTGGAGGTGGTCCCGGTCGGGAAGGCTGAGGTTTTGAAGGGTGTCGTGCTCCCTACATTTGATGGGGCTCCTTATCTGATTCTGTAAGGTGTCTGGGTGTTTTGGATCTAGGTCATTTCTGGCAAAACAGATCAGTGCAACGGAGAAAAGTGATTTTTCGTACCTCCACGTGGCATGCAAATTAGCTCAGCTGAGGTGGTCACATTGCCTCATGCCACAATAAACTTTAGCCTAGAATGCCATAATACACTCTACATGGGGCTACCCTTGAAGTCAACGCGGAAACGTCACCTGGCACAGAATGCAGCACCCTGGCAGATGGCAGGAGTGGGCCGCATACACACAACACCAGTGCTACAGGCTCCTCAGTGACTGCTAGCTGGTTTCCAGATTCAATTAAAGGTATTGGTTACGTATCGAGCCTTTCATAGCCTGGGACTGACATATTTACAGTTCCTTCTCTTCTGATATGCTCCACCGAGGCTACTCCACTAAGCCAAACAAACTTTGTTGGAGATCCAATTGTGCCAACAGGCTTGAATTGTGTCAACTAAAGACAGAGTGCTTTCCGTCGTGGCCCTTACTTGGTGGAATAGCTCTCCGAAAAATGTCAGGACAAGGTGGTTTTTCAGAGGCCACGTCAGGCCAAATTGTTCAAGCGCACTTTTTTTTTTTAAAGTAGGTTGTGTAAAAGAAGGTTATGCAAAAATTTGGGTCCCATAGGTTTTATACAAACCTGGGCCTATTGTACTGATTCTTCTGGTTTTGTTTAATTATGCTTTATATCACAATGTAACCTGCCTTTAGTCTATGTTCGAGGAAGGCAGGATAAAAGCTCCACAAGTAACTAAGCCTGCAGGCCGAGATGGATGGTGGTGGTTAATCTGCGAGATCTTCTCACTGGGGAAACCCTGTGGCTTCCCAAAACTCAGACTGAAACCTGCTGCTCTTTGGCACTGGAGGCCATTGCGAATAGAACTGGAGGTAGAGAACTGAGACTAGGGGCTGGGTGAACAACTGTGCTAATCATCTACCCTGGAAATGGCACCTGGCCTCTTTCTGGCTTCTCTATCACCAAGACTCCTACAGATGCTCTTTTCCTCCCATTCTGCAGCAAGAAGGGCTACAGATTTCCACTGCTGTCTTCAGCAACCTGCCAAATTCTACCTCGATACCATGTTTCATATGGCAGTTGCACAGATAAACAGATGTCAGGAGCCCTTATTCAGGATTTGAAAATATTCAAGTTTAGGCCCACAATATTCACGGGGGGGTCCCCTCCCCCCCACTTTTTGGATGGGCCCGTGCCCAGTGTGACACCTAGGCCTGGAGTGCAGCTCTCGGGCTGCGCAAGCAGCAGCAGCATGCCCAGCATGGGTCCTGGGCCTGAGGTAAGTGAATTCTCTGTGCTTGTGCAGAGAACACTACTTTAATTTTCAGGGGAAATAAACCCCCCATGTTTTTTTTTTAATTTTCCATTTTTCTGCACACCTGAGGAGTGTCTCCATGTGGCCCTAATCCACAGATTTAGCTATCCGCAGACCGGGCCCATGGTTGGCTAATAGTATACAGATGCTGGAGAACTCAGCTAGAGGAGATAAACCTGACTTACTACCTATATCAAACCACAATCAAATCATCTATAGTTCTTCCATACTTTGCAGCAGGGCTTCACTATTTCCCCTGTTCTGGCAGGGACAGTGGAACCCACTACAAGACACTCTGCCTTAAATCACAAGCCTCTGAATGCAGCAAGGCACTTTGCCTCTTGTAAGTGATCAGGAGTTCTCACTGGTGAAGGCTATTGCTAGCATTGACACTCTGCCTTAAATCACAAGCCTCTGTATGCAGCAAGGCACTCTGCCTCTTCAGGAGTTCTCACTGGTGAAGGCTACTGCTAGCACTCTGTTTCCCTATATTGGTTTGGAAAATGCAAGCAAGGAAGCAGTGGGGAAAACAGCTAACGCTATGAGCCGTAACCATGTCTGAGACCTGAGATGCAAGTAGGAGATGCACAAGCTGCACCAGGAGCCCTTCCAGGGCCTGAACCACTCAGAACCTCTTGTGCATAAGCCCCTTCCTTTTGAAATGGGAGCTCCACCGCACTGCTGCTGCACCGCACTCTCTGCATAACCCCCTTCCTTTTGAAATGGGAGCTCCACCGCACTGCTGCTGTTGCTGAGAACAGAGAGCTGCTAGGCAGGGAGACCTGTATGAGGCAGGGTGTTTATTCTTATCACAGATCCCTATGAAACTGTGGCTTTATAGCTCTTCAGCTGTGGCTTTTTCTGCTCAACTCCAAAAAAACAGAAAATGCACTCCCCACACCCTCAGCATGCCAGCATTGGAAAAGGTGCCACTGAGACACCCCAGTATTGCAACCCAAGGTTAGGAGGGGCAGCTCTCCTTCTGCCAGGCCCAGCAATTAGAGTTCCAGTTGTGGAGTACCACCAAGTCAGCAATTCAGAAGGGAAGGCTGAGGAGCTCTGTAAGTGCCCTAGGCAGCTGCTTCAGCGGCACTGGTCAGACACCTTAGATAAACTTAGCATGGTTCAGATTTTGTCCTCTCTTCCACCTCAGTTTACCACATGTTGAAGGTCAGGCTTGCCTGCCTGCCTGCCATTGTGAAGCTTTACTGGACCGCCAATAAAGCTCAGTGGTTGTCTGGGGTTTAACAAGTTAAAAGTATCCAGGAGTGAAGCTTCCATTTTGTTCTGCATTTCTCATGTGTAAAGCAGTCTGCATGGGGAGGATCATGGCCTGGGGCCTACCTATGGCCCACAGGAAGCTGGTCCTCTAAGAGCTTACCAGCTTTGTCAGGAGCACTGGCTAATGGGCTCCTGACAAATTGCTGAATGGATTGCGGGCCACTGAAAGTCACTCTGTCCCCAAAAGCAGGCAGACAGTTGGATTTGGCCTTTGGGATAACCCCCCCCCCCCCAAAAAAAATCTGCATCTGCGCTACCCAGATTCTGTTTAGAGACGGGTGTCTTCTGCAAGCAGCATCAACAAGAAACATCCTTTGGATTAAAAAGGTGTTCGCGGGCCTGGCATGATGTGGTCTATGGGGTCGCAAAGAGTTGGACTCAACTGTGCGACTGAACAACAACAGCAACAACTTCCGTTCCACGTGGGCAAATGGTCCAGGGAGAAATGGTCCAGACAAATTTCAAATGCTAACCCTGAGAACCTTGTTTTTTAATTAGCTAATCAACCTGAAAGGCTTATCAGCCGCAACTCATTGGTTCTTGGAACATTTTTTTTTTTAAATTTCTGCAATAGAATGCCACTTCATCTTGAGTTCAGCTGAGAAAATTTAAGCCAAGAACATGTTCTCTACATTGACAGGACATCCTAGCTGGCTATTAAAGCCCCTGCCCTAACTACAAGGTGACCTCAACTGACAATTAATGCTTTTGCAATGTTGCACTCATTACATAGGTGAATTGTTTAGATGGTTAGGGTAATAATAATAATAATAATAATAATAATAATAATAATACTTTCAATTTATTAATCGCTTTCCCCAGTGGGCTCAAAGAGATGTACAGTTATGCATTAGACAGGGGACTAACAATGTTCAAAGGGGATAGGGAGGACAACATATATTCATTTTTTAAAAATTGCACACGCTGTCACTGCACAGTGTAAACGTCTTCTGAAGTAGTATTATGCATTCTATACATTCTGCAATATTCACTTGTTTCACAAACACCACCAATCCCCCAAAAAACCGTACGGAGCCAGAACCTCTGCCAGGAAAGGCTTATTACAGGTACCTTTCAGCAACTGTAAGGTCCTTCTGCACATGCACCGCTAAAACAGTGAAACTTTTGATCACAGAGCATGTTTGAAGTTTGAGTACTTACTAATACATGATCACCTAACAGTGATAAAGTTTACACTTTGCACATAGGATTTCTACAGGAAAATATAAGCATTTCTCTATGCTGGCTCTTTCTGGAGGTAATGCTTACTTTGGAAGAATTAGGAAAATGCAGCAATAATACCCCTTAATGTGCTGGTTTGTCCAAACTGGCCAGAAGGCTGCATAGCTTCCAGGAAACCGTGCTTCACGGGTATCAAACGTCAAAGGTCTTTCTAGTCAAAAACTCTGCAGGAATACAGCCTACAGGCAGGACTGGCCAGGATTTGAATAGGGAATATCCTCTTCTGGGCACTGCAGCCCCGCACAGGACGTAATTCAAAGCTACAAAGATTGCTCTCCTGGGTTCCAGCATGCCCACCTCAACCTCCCACTGTTTCTCCTAACACAGCACAATGAGAAATACTTCCAGTTAGGCCTGCATCACTGCCTGACAGCAGCTGGGCTCTGGCCTCACGCCAGGTAATTATGAACACATGAAGCTGCATTACAGCAAGTTAGACTCCTGGCCCATCACACCCACACACTGAAGTCTAAGGAGAGAAGGGTCCTTTCCAGCCCTGCAACCAGAATCTTGTTTAATGGGAGAAATCAAAGACTGAACCTGGACCCTTCTGGGAACTGACGGGAGGACAGCAGCGAAGAGAATCACCTGTCATCCTACAAGTCTTATATGGCTGTAGCG